GAAGAGCATGTCATGGCAAAAAAAACTGGCCAGATGGCACAAATTGCAGAGCCATATCACAGGGCATTTTTTGCAGTCCAAAAAGCACTGAAAGCTTCGCTGTAGACTTTTTCTTCCTCTATCAGTTGACTAATCAGTGCCCCAATCAATAGGCATGTAGACTAGAGATCGAGACCAAAACACATAGTCGCAAATTTATCGTTACTTTTTTTCTAATATTGTATCCTCTGGGATGAACTGGGAACCAATTTACGTTCCCGGAGGGTAGAAAGCAAGAGCCACCCGGGATCAGACCCGTACCGCGCCTTGCATCCCACCACGTCACCCTCGCCTCAGTCACGAACACTATGGAGGAAATACCTTATCACTAGGCTCATGCTCAGGCCCACTTTGACAGTAGCCGGCCATCCTACTGTGAGCCTCCGGAGAGCGTGGCCTACGTGCCTTCTTTCACCCTGCAGGGTGATAAGAGAGTATCTATAGGGATACTGTAAGGGTGTTTACTAGAGTTGAGAGTAAACAGTTCTGATAGAAGGGTGTTTCATTCTTTAGTAACGGCCCTCCTCAAATGACCGACAATGGCCAGAACCAGTCAACAGTTACTATCTTCCATTCCACTTCAGAAGATGTACGTAAGATTTCAGGGTCCTGTACATGGTCCCGGTCCCATTTGCTCCATGAATCTCGACATTTCAGCTGACAGATTTGATAGACAAAACCGAGAGCAGTATAAGATCACTATCGGAAGATCCAAATTTGTTCAAATTGTAAGTGTTCCGATCCTGAACTTTGAGGGGCAGTGGGCACGGTTGTGGGCGGTCACTGCCAACGTCATTGGTGGAAAGGCTGCGAAAGGGTGCTTAGCCATACCCCACTCAGCCCTTCCACCAATGACGCGGCAGTAATAGCCCGCCCCCAGCCGCTGTGCCCACTGCTTTGAATCCACATTTGGTCGAGCGTTATGTTCAGGCATGAACGAAATGAGCGAAAACGAATGAAGAAAGAGAAAACCCCTCGAAGGGACGAATCAACATCAATAACACCGCGCCAAGAGGTGACAATCATAGTCTCTCCTAATGGACCAGTAAGCGACCAACGTTCTCAGATCGATTACCGGGGTATGTGACAAGACATTCATAGTATGCCGCGCTGGGCGTGGCAAGCGACGACGCGCGCGCGGGGACGAGTTGTCTTGGCCGATCATCTGATTTCGAATGTTGACGGGACGGAAAGATCGATATCATATGGAAGGGTTTTATGCCTCGCTTGAATACCTGTGAGTTCGGTTGCTCCTATCGATGAACTGACGCAGATCGAGAATTCGCCGCGCGCGACGGCACGGCAACATGTGGTTATCTTCTCCATGTCTCCAACCCATCGATTGGAGCAACCAAGCTCAAGGCTACCTCCTAAATACATCGATCCTTCTCGACTCTTTACCATTCAGAATCAATTCTATATCATACAGCCGGTCGGGAGAACTCGTCCCTCGCATGCGCGACATCGCTCGCGACGCCCAACGCGGCAAATACGATTGTCTTGTCCATCTCCCCAGTTATCGGGCGTGGTTCAAGACGTCCTAGATGAGGCAGATCGAGCGCATACCAGCTGTGTTCCTAGCCAGCTGACTCAGCTGGTACATTTGCGTCAAATCAGTTGTGTCGTGGCAGCCTACACACCGTGTAACATATCTGACGGCCATGTCTCGCTGTATGGGTAGATGCTGAGGTGCAGCTAGCTAAGAATGCTGGACGAAGTGCTATGCCGCGCTGCGGCCGCCTTGAACTGCACCGAGAAGGACCAGGCTGTACCAAAGAATGAATAAGTTTTGCAGGTTCAGCGAGGTCCCTCACCCAGGGCACGTTCACCGCCCCGAAGTCCCCCGAATGCTGGAAAAGTGGTCGATTTTCATAAGCTTCTTGCGAGCCGGTCATCGCATCAGGCAGAATGGATTCTCGGCAAGACTCCACCGAAGCAGCCGGAAACTCAGACCACAAAACAGCCAAGTACTGCTAATGCTGGACAGAAACATAAGTTTGATTGGATTCTTCAGACTGAACATGCGAAAGTGCCCCCTCCTACGCAGGGTTCTGCTCATGCGCCCGATCAAAAAGAGCCCGATCTTAATAAATTACATACAAGCGATTCAACACACCATGAAGGGTGGAATCTTGGCGGAACTACGCAAAAGAAACAAGCGGCTCAGACGGCGCAGGGACCTGCTAGGACCGAACAGGAACAGAAGCATGAATGGGCCCTGCGAACGGAACACGAGAAAGACGCAAAGGAGCTCCCTCCACATCATGATCCCACCCCTTCGTCTCACGGAAAAGATGCCGATTTCCATAAGCTGGTTGCAATCGATTCAACTCACCATGCAGAATATATTTTGGGTGGCGAACGAAAACCAAAGAAGGAAAATCGGGCGGTAAAACCGCCCGGTAAGGCTGGGCCACCACCCAAATCCGAATGGATTATTCAGACGGAACACGTGAAAGACACACATGCACTCACCCCTGCGCGGAGTCCATACACGTCTGAATACCAAGCAGAGAAGACTCAAAGCGAGGAAAAGATGCAGGCAAGTTGAGGTCAGAGCTTCAGCTTCGGGTGTGCGAGAGAAACAAGAGCAGGAAAACGTACTGTTAAAGTCGCCAAAGCCTATACCACAGCCTTGTAGTCTCTCCAGAGAGATATTCAATTACGACAACGTCCCTGATGAAGGAGCCGATGAGCAAGAATTGAGCCCTTCGACTGTGAAATCTGAAATTCTGCCAAGAGGTCAAAAGGCAATTTGTCTAATGTCTAACTTGAAAGTTCGAGGTCGGCATGGACCGTTGTCAGCTGACGAGAGGGCGAACGAACGAACACCATTTGGATCGGAAAGTGGGAACCAAATATAGTCCCTGGTGACGCTCGGAAACAAAGGCGTACTCGGAGTGAAATGGACGCCCGAACAGCTAGCGAGTCGAAGTAAGCCGCGAAAGAAAATCATACAATTTCTTATTAAGTTTTCAGTGGTACAGTAAGCGATTCCTGCGAATGACAGGTGTGTGCGCGCGCCGTTATAGCGGCCATGGCCGCCTTAGTCCGTGATATCGTCCTGATCAGCCACTATGGTGGACAATTTGCGGATGGTTTGCGTTCCGCCCCGCTCACGCCCTATCGTTCGCAGGGATCATGATGTACTAAGTTTCTAACAGCACTAAGGCAAGGTGTTCAGAGTTTACAGGATGTGTTCTCCTGCTCCTGGGGAAGAGAGGGGGCTCCCTCACTAGTGAGTCCAAGGTCAGACTTTTACCAGGCAAATTTGGAATGAGAAAGATTATTAACCAGGGCATAACATCACCTTATGTAAAACTTTGCGCGAATGGGGAGCCGGATCAGAATTTCCTTCTCACTTGCCTACATTCACAACGGCGCAGCGTCGGCGACGGGGGGAGGGCATTTTGTACTATCATTGGCTTCCTTAGTTCCGGTTTACAAAGTCTCACTCTGGCGAAACCTGTGAACTCTTGTGAAGCTGGAGTAAAGCCGTTGAGCCACCAGTTAAAACCTGTCAACTCGAGAAGAGGCTGTCTAGAAGGGTCGACACTTCGATAGAAGTATAATAAAAAAAACAAAATGCCTACCCGTTGGCCGAAAATGCGCGCTATCACCAACTTCCTTCACAACAACCAATCGTTCCAAAAGCTTTGCTGTCCTTCGCAAAAGTCTGCCAGCCTGGCCGAAGCGAGACATGCCTATTAGTATTGAATTAGCCAAAGCGATCTGTTAAGAGTGGAAAGGAACTGTTAAGAGTGCAAGTGTTAAAGGAACCTGTTAAGAAGATGCAAGTGCACGTCCCCCCCCCCGCAGAGTCAACAATGCCCCCGGACGATGTCTTGTAGCGTCCAAAGGAGTATATACGACAGCTCCTAACGTAATAGTTGTTTTATGTAGGCTCAAAAATGTATTAACGTGTCATAATTGCGTAACCCTCCACCAACCAACGTCCCCATCTGCCCTGTCTTCCTTTATCTCGATCGCCTTCCATATAAACCGTCTCCGATCACACCAAAACTTTCATTTCAGATCCCTAATGCGATTCCGATCACATCGTATTAGAGCACGACGAAAAAGACGTATAACGCGAACCGATCCAAATACAATAATCAGACCCACAGAGGAAAGGATAGCTGATGACGTTAGTATACTAAGGTAGTTAAGCAAGGCCATGCGGCAGCGCCTCTAGACCCTTGCTCTAACCAAGGGTTTAGATTTAGTTAGAGCGCAACGACGGACTATCGACGAGCGACAAAAGGGTCTCAAACATTAAAGGTATGACAAGACATTTTGTCGAGCCAGGCAGATTGGAGCTTCTTGGCCGGGTGGATTAGCGATGGATACACCGAGGTGGACGAGTTCGCAGTGATACCACATGCGAAAAGTCGCATGGGAGTGCTTGTTGGCTAGAGGCCGGGCCCATGAGCTAGAGCCCCACGTAGTCCAGAAAATTTGAGTAGATTACTACTCCGGTTGTCTCAGGAGTCTTCGACTCCTGAGCTTAAAGACACTGCCCGCGATCAAGTGGTCCTCAAAATGACTTCGTGCTTTTTGGAACCCTCTACGCCTTGACGAAGATGATACCACTTTCATCCCTCAATATGGCGCGATAAGGAAGTTTATAGCGATTTTCTACACAGGACCTGCTAGGAACGCTGACACAGGTAGGTGACGAGGGTCCGTGTTCGAGCTGCTTCCGTCCCTTTAAAGTATCCTATTTCGAAAGTCGGGACGCAATTGCGGCTGCCGCATCGATTTCTGGCAGCCACGTCCGGCACACTCGTCCAGGCCCCGCCCCACTGCTAAAGGGAGGTCTGTGTTCAGGGTGTTCGCGAGGTTTTTTTTCGATTTTTTTTCCACTGGGGGTTACAAATGGGCCACTGCTTCGTGACTGAGCACCAATTACCCGAACACTTGATCGCGGGAATTGTCTTTAAGCCTTGCTTTGGGAAAGAAACCCTCTGGCGCTGCCTCCCGGCCTCGCTCAACTTCTTATTTACCAACCATAATTCGTTTCTACATCAACAGCGTTTTTAAGCACGTCATCCAGCTTACTCCATTAAAATCTCCAATTTCAATTGATTCCATGCAACGGTTAACGCGAAACGGAGACCAAGTTAACTTCAGACAAGTCAGTTCAGCATTGCAGCCACCTCGACCTTATCCTTACAAGGAACTCAACTTGAATTCAGGTGCTGCGCATCTATGGATCAGGGGTGGTTGAAGAGCCTTACGCTTATTTACCAAGGCGGACATCAGTGTTGAGTACGCGCGGTATGGTAACGGTGAAATATGGCACGAATATGATCGAAATCGCTACGCAAAATACCGATGTTCAGGTATACTAGATTTTACATGAAACAGTTTCCTGTCCACCTGAGAGTTTCCTCTTATTCCTATATTTGAACGCCTAATGTCTTGTGAAAAGGACCACTGTTGGTCTTGAGGTTGTAGCAGGCAAGTCGAAACAACACGGGGAGGTAAAAAGGGGGACGAGCGGTGCCATATCAAGGATGTGCTATTTATTGATTCCTTCATCACTAAAAAATGGAAAAGAAAGTGAGGTGGAAAGCGAATCGCGAAGCGGACTGTGTGTCGTGACATAGCTTTAGCGCTCTGATGAGCACGCCAAGCGCGAGATATGGTAAGCTTTCCGGTCATCGGAAATGCTTCCGTCTGCTGAGCAACCGTTTCTGTAGTGCCTCGTGAGGCTGCCGTTCAACTCACGACGCGTCACTGCCGACCAGTAGCGTGCGCAGCTCGCAGGCCTCCGACAGATATCGATCTAGCATCTGGCCAGTGTCCCTAGGCGTACAGCGCGCACCAGCGCTCTGAGGGCTAGGGCAGTATAGTCTACCGTTCTTGACGTTTGCCAGCGTCCTGTCAAGTGCATCAGCGTACTGCCAGCGTCGTGTGAGAGAAAAGTTATTTAGGAGCGCGATAGAAGTGTAGCAGACAGCTGGTAGAGTGTTGGGAGATAGGAGGGTAGCAGACTGCTGGTAGAGAGTATGGCGCGATAGGAGGGTACCAGCTGTCTATTACTCTTCTATCGCGCCACACTGTCCCTTCCGTGACGGCTGGTGCACACCGATGGACGTTAGATCGATATCTAACTTTCCTAGTAGCTGACGCTGCCGGACGCTCTGAACGCTGGTGGACGCTACTGGTCGCTAGTGGACGTTGACGTAAAGTATGAACGCAGCTTTCTCAAAATCTTTCTTCAGGAAGCCTCGTCTAGTCTTATATATCCACCAATCACTCATTTCATTTCAGCCAAGCAAACGTGGCCGCGTCGGCAGCTGGATATTTACGCATTCACGGAAAGTGCACAGAGCACCTATAGTGTTCGGTAAAACGAAGCTTCCGAGTGGTAAGCCCCTCCCCCCTCTTTGCAAATGCCTTCATAAAGAATGTTCTCAGTTGGCGAAAACTTCAGAGAAAGGCCCGGCGCCATTTTGTCTGTCTATAGCAGCACCCTTTTGGGTGAGCTATCACCAAGAACAATACGCATCATCACAAAGTGGTGAACGTATCCGTGAAAGTATTGAAATTCGTCAATGCAAGAGTAGTGAAATGCCGTATTATGTAAGTCAAAAACTGGGAGAATAGCACACCGAGAACTGGTCACATCATCGGGCGTCTTCTCTTTCAGGAAGATGAAACCACTCGATCCGGAGCAACATCGTCTCTTTAGTGAGCATGTCTATCTGGGAAAAGGTGTCATTCGCATCGATCGAAGTTCTTACATTCCCACCGAACAGAAGGTAAGCTTGCACTCATATCAGCACGATCCCTGCAAACGATAGTTTGTGTGACAGGAACGGCCTCAGTAGGCTTGAAAATGGCGCTAACAACCTCGGGAGAGGGCTGAACCTCTGAGCTTTGTTATCACCTGTCATGCACCCTGTAAACTCCTGCCAAAGTTTCAAAATAACTGCGCAAAATCCAGAAGAAAAAAGAAGAATCGTGTTCTGATGATGCTGAACACTAGTTGCCGGGGTGCTGAAACCGCGGCTGCGCTGAGTCCTGACAGCGACGCTGGGGTGCTCTGAGTGCAATTTAAACGCGAGCTGCAGGTTGAGAGATGATTGGAAAATGCAAACGACAAGAAAAAGCTGGAAAGCTCCGACATTTGGCCCTTCACTGTTCTAAGCGCTTCGAATCAATTATGACGTTTTATCAGCCTGTAATTACTTTCCGTTGATAGCTTTGCAGCTAACGCTTTCTTCGCCACATGCATCAATACCACCAAAACACGCCAGTATCGAATTCCGCTCCCATGGAGGGGTACTGGAGTCAGTCACTCCAAGTACGTTTTACCTTGTTGGGCAACCAGCCTCGTAGCGTGGGTCTATTAGCGCTTTACACATGTTCTTATGGCGCGGAAACTTTGTGAAAAGGTTAACCGCTATCGGATTTCAGTATTCCCTCGTGCTCCCACAGATCACGGATATCCGAACCAGGGTTCACGTAATGGAAGAATACAAGAAGAAGCCTGAAAAGAGCATGGTCACTGAACCAAGGTTGGTTGAGTCTCACTGTACAGCTCCCATCGGACCTAATCGTCTGCACAATCTCTTTCCTAATTCGCCCCACGTCCCATGTGCAAATAAATCTTAAAGTAGAAAAGTAGGAACGTAAAGCCTGTAGGGCGCAGCTCAGTTTGGAGGGGGGGGGCACTTTGCAGTTGCTAGTTGCTTCCCATTGTCGCGCTCAATGCTTTACAAGAGTTAACAGGTATAGTTTATATGAGTTGAGAAATCTCTACATGATTGACACCACAATGAGTAGGAGCAAAAGTGCAAAATTTCTCCCTTTCATCGTCACCGAACTGTCCTAGCGTGGACCCTAACCAGAGTGCGTCCTCTCACTGAGGAAAGTTTTGCAAAAAAAACGCCCCCTCCCCGAAAACGATTCTTTCCTCTGGTTCGGCTCACCTTCAAGGCAGCGAGTCAATCCAAACCCATCCGTGGTGGTCTTCCAACGCAGTGAATAGCCTGCGCGAAACAACACTGTGAGTGGTTCACTTTGCGAAACCTCAAGCATAACAGAATCACTATAGCACGAAAAGCAGCACGAAAAGCGAGCCTAAAGAAGATGAGAAGAAGGCGAAGAAGAAGAAAAAGCCACAGTCAGGGCGACGTCGCTTACCACCTCCAAGTAAAGACGTAACTGGATGCAACCTTATTAAACCTCAGGTGATCAAACTTCGTCGTGTTAATTTTACTACTTCTACTCCCATTATCTTTGCTTCTTTTTTTGAAGGCATTCAACAGGGAGAGGCAACTCTTGTCTAGCACCGGACCTTCACGGCTGGCGTTTCTATGGGTGACGGGTAAGGCTCATACCGGGGAGGGGGGGGGCAAAATTCAGGACATCATG